CAAATTCTTCAGGGTAAAATTGGTATTTGCATTTCCTCAAAAACACCATACATTTTCAATCTTGATTCCTTGTGTACATAGAACACTGTGTGAGAAGGTTTTGCCACCCGCCACGCACTATTACCTCTTCCTCCCTTGCCTCTATCCTGATTCACTCACAGAAACTCATCACATGCCACCTTCTTCTGTAAGCCATTGGTGACCAGCTAGGGCTAGGTGCCTGTCTCTGTACTACTTCAAACCTCATCTCTCTCCTAACACATTTACCAGGCTGATTGTGTGTTCTGGGCTAAAAGAGAACTGTATGTACTTAGATCTTACGTCCTCAGCTGCTAAAACAGTGCCAAGCACAGAATAGGCACCTTCAGAGGAGGGCAGAACAAGAAAGGTAAGTGTATCCTGAAGAAGATTATGCATTAAACCTCAGTGTCAAGTCTGGCATGAATAAATCCCACTGTCTGGGGCACTGGGAAGCCTTCCCGGAGCCCAGCACACAGAGGAACGTTTGAATGGGTCATCCTACTCCTGGGTGATAAAGCTCTGCTCTCCGCATTAAGAAGTTGGGGACTTCTACTTTTGGTCCTCACATCACTAGGTGACCTCCAAAATGCCATTTCAGAATGAATTAACTTCTGCACCAAAAAAAGAAGCTCACGTCTGTGACATCTGCTCTAGACACAAGGGTTCTAGGTATAACAGATAAGAAATGACCCTGAAATTGTAGTGTGGAGGGAACATCTTGCATCGTGAACTCAGAAAAAAAAACCTGGACTCAAACCCCGCTCTGTTCTTCACTGGCCGTGTATATTCAGGCAATTGACTCATCCTCCGCATTTGCTTCATCTGTGACAGGAGGATAATGACAACTACTTCTAGGGACTGGTGAGGAAAACAAGTGAGTAACAAATGTGAAAGACTGTGCCCAGCACAGAGTGAGCTCTTCATGAACGACTGTTCCCTCTCCCGCCTCCATTCGGACCACAGGTGCCACCTAGGTTCAAAGAGCAGTGCACGGTGACAGTGACTCAGTGACTGACGTGCCCGTGCCTGGGGCCCAAGTGGCTGAATGGGGACAAGCCCTGCAGACCGCCTGTGCTCTAACAGACCAAGAAACCAAGGAAGTTTTCTCCAACATCTATACATTGTTTCCATATATGGGAAGTAAATTTTCAAGTTATCTTTTCATCGTTTCACTATGAAACTCTATCTTTTCAAAATGCAGCAGCCCTTGTGTTCTGGGTAATGAGTCAGAGGTGAGCGATAAATACAGTGGCCTTCAAAGGTTTCCCAAATGCTCCATTTCTTAAACTGGTGGCAAGTACATGGATGCACATTTTGTTATTATTCTTTACACTGTAGATGAGTTCCTACAGACTGTTTATATATGTGATATGTTTCATAACTTAAAATAGGGGGTAGTCTTCATATCGGGAGGGTAAAATCAGGGACCCCGAGCACGGAAATCCCATGGGCATTCGGTAAGTACAGGGTCTGGCACAAATAATGCCCCTTTCTCACTAAAAATCTTTCATTACAAAATCATAAGCAGGTAATTCTGTAACATAACAATGTCATCTCAAACACACCATATGACATTTTAGGTGAAATGTTGAAATTAAAACTATAAATTATTACACTCATATTATTACCCTACCAACCACACTCAAGCCGGCCTACTTCTGACAGACCCTGTGTAATACATGAATATTTTGTCCACTTGAACTGATACATTTTTGAGCCATTAATGATATTCTAGAAGATTTACAACTTAGCATATAGAAGGCCTTTTTGAACACCCCTTGAAAATCTGTTTCTGAATAACTGCAAATTTCAACAATGCCAAAAATGTGACTCAAAGAGTTGTGTGTCCAAAAAGAAAGGCAAACCAGCTTAGAGGACAGAAGACCTCGGTCCTGGCTCCAGCTCTTCCACCAACAGTGTGGTAGGGCTGTAAGCCGACTTCCACAGCATCCGGAAAACAGATTCCGGGTCAGGTGGCGCTTGGTCTAACACCCTCACCCAGGATAACTGCAAACTATAGGCTATTTTGGGAAGACAGGCTGAAAGCTGCCGAGCGGATACTGCTTCCATCTCCTCATGCTTTCTCTCAAGACATTTTTTTAGCCCCAGGTTTTTGTTGTGCTTATAGCAACAAGTTAAAAAAAACAAAGAATTTAATTAGCTTTTCAAGATATTGTTGTAATGATCACAGTAATAACCAAAAGAGCCATCTACCAAAGTGAACACAGCACTGGTCAGTTCACTAGCACCACGGCTGTGTCATGCTTTGCCATTTACAATCACAGTCACAGACATTTGTACTGAGAAATCACACACACATACACACACACACACACAAGGTGTTAGGAGACAAATGGGTAATAACATAGGAAGCAGATGAAAGGTTTGTCTCATAAACAGAATGAGCACATGCTTCACACATAAGCAAGGTTAGGGGCCCCCAAGAAAGAGTTTGATGAACTTACCCAGAAGCTAGCCACCAGAAAAATCTAACAAACTACTAATTATTTTCAGGTTATCCGTGGGTTTTATGCATTAGAGTTTAGTGCCATTGCTTTTTATTTTTCAGTCTATTTCATTTAAGGGAAAGCATCATAATCTTTGTAGATTTTAGAACTTTCGAAGGTTATCAACAAACCCTAGAAGCAGAAATAGTAATAGAGGCTGAAAGCAATGGAAATAACTTTAGCCATCCGTTCTGCTGCTTGCTAGATATTTCACAATTTTTTGACCAATAACATCAACCCTATGATCAGAATGCAATATGCTAATCAGTTTACTCTCAATAACCCAGTGGTATGGTTTATTCCATCATATAAATTACATTAATTTTATTAGTACAGAAACTGGTTTCCCTCCTTAAATAAATAAAATTAATAATCATCTACCCTTTGCAGTACTTAGTAATTTAATATGTCAAATGCCTTATCTGGCAAAACACAAATGTGAAATAAAATCATGAATGTGTTTATAATAAATGCCCATGGGTGGAGTGGAGAGACTTTTGGAGAAAACAAGGGAAATAAATGGTTAACTGCCAGCACACTACTCACACTGGAGGACACAAAAAGGTTCCCAGCAGTTGTTAAATTCATTTAGAGAAACTCACTTTATTTTTCCAGCAGAGCTCTCACCAGCTAATCTGTATTACAACCTGCAGGAGTCTTAATACTCTCAGCAGGATCTAGATTTGGGCCACACTGATTCGGCTATTTAATCTTGCAAGAGAACAATATTTGGCAGGAAAAGACCCCACAGCACTGAGTGGGCGTCCCAAGGTTCGTTGTCAGCACAGGCTGGGCCAAGATCGCCCAAGGTGGAAACCGAACTGCACTGAGCGGTGTTTATCACTTCCTTTCAGTGGCTCTCGCTCAGACACGCCTGCATGCACTGTGTGTATGTGGGAAACACAGTCATCCCATGTGCGTACACGGCTCTTGCAGATAAGTGTAAGTTCTTTTAAAGCAAAATGTTTTCTCCATATTTTGGACCAGGTTATGACCAAAAATTTAATTCCAAAATATTACTACAGAGGTTGGGGAAAGAGATAAGAAAGTGACTAGTTCTATTTTTGAAACCTTTCAACTTCTTATATACTAAAAGCCAAAATGGAACATCTGTATGAAATATTAAATATATGCAGAAATTTACATTGATCTTTTTAACTATCCTGAAATTAGTAAGTTTGATGATCAATACTCTTCTATAAATGGACATTTTTTATAGTTTATATATAATACTCTGGTTTTGTTCATTTCAGTGACATTTTTTGGAAATCCATACTGACAGGTAGAGAATACATAAAAAGATAGGCAAACTTAAAAACAAAATTGATAACCCCAATTTACAAAAGAACAGTATGACTCACCACTAAAAACTATAAATCAGTGGAATTCTTCAAACACGATTTTCAAAGAGCCATAGGAAGGGTGTTATTCCTTCACCTCCCAACCCAAATGTGGTTAATTATCTTTCTGATTGATAGTAACATGTTTCCTCTATTGGGCACTTACCACCCTGTGCCCCAGTGACCTGCTGGCTTGTTAGAGGATAAACCGCAAGCTCCATGAGGTCAGGGGTCATATGTATTTTATTCCTCATCATATCCCACTCCACCCACCCTCAACAAAGGGCCTGACACATAGTAAACACTGAAAAATGTTTAAATCTGACAGTTGTTTCCACAAATAGTTTCTTTAAAGAATTTTTGGGGGATTTACAGATTCCAAAAATACACACATTTGAAAATATGATACAACTCTTTCAACAATCTTGCCTCAATCAACATTTCAGTAATAATGTCTCTCTCAGCACTCTAACAAGTACCTGTTGGGCGTTCCTAACCTTATTACGCTCCTTCCTTCCTTCTCTGACTCATGTCAACACCACCCTTTCCCTCACAGACCATTTAGGTCACACTGAGGCTCTGCTCCACAAACGCCTCTCCCGGCCACTTCCTGTGTCCCAGCGTCAGTGTAAAACCCGTGCAAAAAGTGGCTCCTCGTTTTTCTGCAACCCACAGGGCCTGGTACAATGTAATGTCCAGAGCAAATGTGTAATGAACACATACCTATGCACATTAAAGGTAGCTGTGAGGGCCACTTTTACTCTGGTCTTCTTTATAGTCAAAGCACCATGTTCTGAAGGATTCGAACATGAGCAGGAAATGTCACTTGTCTTCAAAGGCCTCATAATAATTACATAACAAAAGTAAGTATTTAAATCACTTTGGAAAAATCAATTCTATCAAAAATAACAAGTTTTAGGAGGAACAGAATGATTTTAAAGGTTTTTTCCTTTTATTTTTTCTAAATCGATACTCTTTTCCATAATTTGCTAAAAACAAATTGACACCTGTGTAATTTTAAGACTGCAATGATACAAAAGCTTAATTCAAACAAATCAAAGGTTGACTTTCTTACAATTAATTAGGGTAAAAGTCAATCAGAAATATCAACAAACAAAGAAAATGATCATACCTTCTTGCTTCTTGTCCTTGGAACAAGTCCAGAGGCACTTCGCAAAAACACTAGGCCCTTCAAACAGAAATTTAGAGATAGACTTTACATATAATGCTATGCAGCATTACATATAATTTTGTGCAGAGGAGCAAAAGGCTACAAAAGCAGCCCTGGCAACAGTAAAAGAAAAAGCTATAGTAAAAAGTACAAGCAAAAAATAAAGAAAAGGAATATCCGTAACAGAGCTCTTCTAGGAAAATGAAATGCCAACTAGAGAACATATCTGCACATACTTTAAAAAAATTCTTGCTTCTAACCTTCAATCATGCAATAGTCTTTAATTGCATAAACTTGGCTTGTGTTACCAAATAGGTTTTAATTAAACCTCTGTACGTCTCCCTTGATTCACGACCTCCTAATAAGTAGCAATGACATTTGACTATTACACTTATTAAATTTAAAAAAAGGTCTTAAACTTACCTCCAAATGGCCATTGAAAATATAATTATGTGGCATAATTATTAATGATAGTCACATTTGGAGACTCCACATATATAGGTAATATTTCTGTTTTTTCTTTAACATTCAGTATGTACTCTCCATAAGTGTGTCCCAAAAAGTATACTAAAATCTGGAAGAAAAGTCAGATATTTTTTAAGTTTTAAATCTGCATAAAGCACAGATACTGAGACTTTTTTAAAGCTACTATTTATTAAACTCCCCCTGTGGCATAGCAATGTTTCTTTTCTATTGTCACACACCCTCCCTCCTTTTTCTTCACACCTGCCCAGGCCAAACTGCCAGCCCAGGATATAAGTGAGCTCCACAGCTCCACAGAGACCTGGAAACTTAAAACCATAATTACTACCACCTAACTTATCTTTGTTTCTATAAGTGACTATCGCTCAAAAACCACAAATAAGGCTTGAAAGGACCGATAAAGTTTATTGGAAATAGGACCTAAGGAATTTTGTTTCTTAGTTAAGATTGTTCAGTTTGAACATAGAAAAAAATTAAAAACTGATTGTAAAAGTTTTCCTGGAATGGCAACAGACGGTGTCATCCCCCTTCGCTAAACGAACTGCCTGATGAAAGCAGCTTACAGTTACAAAACAAACGCTACTCATCTCCAAATTACCCTGTGATATATGCAGATCATTTCTCCTTCAGTCCTGTTATGAAATGGATTGTGTTCCCCCTGCCCCAAATTCAAATTCTGAAGCTCTGACCCCCCAGATGACTATATTTTGAGATACAGCCCTTTAAGAAACAGGGGTTAAATGAGGTCATCGGGGTAAGGCCCTGATCCTATTCCCCTGGTGTCCTTACAAGAAGAGGAAGAGACACCAGAGATCTCCTTCTCTGATGCACACGCACCAAGGAAAGGCCATGTGAGGACACAGCAAGGAAGGGCCCTCTGTAAGCCAGGAAGAGCGCTTTCAACAGAAACCACCCTTCCTGACTTCACCTGGCACTTCCAGCCTCTAGAACTGTGAGGAAATAAATGCAGCTGTTTAAGCCACACCGCTTGTGGCATTTTGTTATGGCAGCCGGCAGACCCTAATGCAAGCCATTTTTCTCAGGTCCTTAGACGCCAAAGTGAATTCCCTGGCTCTGACATTTTAAAACAGGGGCAATCCTTGCATTTCTAATAAAATTTTTAGATGCCACATTTAGAAAGCAATTGGTCCTGCTTTACTGAGAGAATACTGCTACAATCTTTTGATGAAATTATAGAAATATTTAAGTGAAAATAGAAGAAAGTGAAAAATAGGTGCTTATCAAGCCGCACAAATGACAACTTCAAAGCAAACAGAAGTCTCAAAAGAAAGAATGTGCAAAGTTAGTTAATATTTTAAATATTATTGCCTCATTCATTTACTCAACCCACATACTGAGTACCTGCTATGTGTCAAGCATTATTCTAGGTATTAGCAATTCTGTGTTGAAGAGATTGATTAGCTCCCTACTGTATCATGCCTTTATCCTATGAAAATTTTTATTGGCCTAGACTTGCATGGAAAGACAGACTTTTCTGAAAAAGAAAGAAAAATAACATGAGGAAATAAAAAAAATAACACCCTTAAAAGAATTCAGTCATTCACTGAACAAATATTTATTAGGTAACTACTTCATGCCAGAGAATAATGGAAAGAAGAAAAGATCTAGGAGTTTTAAGGAAGAAAATTGATGTGATAGCTACATAGATCTTAATAAATGTTTGATTTAAATAAATTTAGAAAGATTAGAACTCCTTATAATAATCACCATTACAAGGTGAAATTCACACAATGGAGGGAGAGTCACTCCTCAAAGTATTGATACAGGTGTGTTTATCAAGGCAGTCTTGAGTAAGTCCCAGAGACAGCAGCCTTGCTTGGGCAGAGGATGAAGCCATGGAAAAAAGATTTGCTGGCACAAGAAGTCAATTCATTTATTTATCACTTTTAGCTCTGTGCTAGGGCATGGGGCTACAGAGAAAAAGACAGAGTCCAAACCTTCATAGAGTTGAGTCTAGGAGAAAAAAGCTTGTAATGCATCTATAGAACCAGGCTGCCAGGCTGGGGAGGGGAAGAGTAAGACCAGGAAAGAGGAGGCAGCCTCCGAGCTGAGCATGGATATGCAGAGGGTGCAGATGGCTTTCTAGGCAGAAGTTTGAAGTGAATAGGGCTCAGGTCCAAGACAAACACCCAGGCTGTAGACCTCGGTTGGATTTAACCAGAGACAGCCTCACACCCCATGCTAATGGTTTTGCATTTTATCCCAAAGGCAATGGGGAGCCATTGAGATTTTAAGGAAGAAAGTAACATGATTAGAAGTATGTTTTAGGAACTTGGCAAGAAACCATGAGAACAGTTTGGGAGGGAGAAGAGGCAGTACAGTGACAGGTGGGAACAGTCAAGAGACATCCCCACAACCCAAGGAAGGGATAGAGAGAGCCTACATTAAGGACATGACAAGAAAGGTAAGGTACAAGGTGCCACGATACGCCTTTTCTTGGATATAGAAAAAAATAAATGAAAAAGACATGAATAATCTTCATCTTCATGAATTTAGAGAGGTAAAACACATACCACGTGAAACATTAAAACCCAACTGTGGACCGTGGTGTGTGAAAGGAGAGGCACGGATAGTAACACTGTTGTACGAAGCTCTACAGAGAGTCCTCTGCAGCGGGTTCTCAGTGTGTGTCTGGGATCAGGGGTGAGGACGTCACTCACAGAGCGTAAGATTGTTCCAAACAAGAGGAATGACTCACGTGAAAGCCCAGAACAGAGCAAGTTGGCCAGGCCTGAAAGAAATGACGGGATAGTGTCGAAGGGCAGTGAGAGATGAGGTGAAAAATAACTTGGGAGCAGGTTGGAGAGAATCTGCAGGGTCAGAATGAAAGGGCTTAGGGTAGACTTTCTCCTCCTCAAAGTGAAGGTCCAAGGAAAAACTTTTAGTGGGTCATAATTAGGGTTTTGATGAAAAAGATATTTTGGAAAGAGTCACAGGCTGACAGTGTTTCAGATACAATGGAAGGAGCGGAAAGGGGCTGGAAGGCGATAAGCCCAATTAGGAGGCACCTGCAACAACTCCGGCCCGTAAGGCCCGGAGCGCCGTGGGACCGAAAGGAACAGAGCTGGGGAAGGGGACTGCACAAAAGGCGGATGGTCAGAGATCATTTTCTGGATCCTTAGTCCTTGTTTCCAAAGAGAAGCCTTACGTGTTAATTCTTCTATTACGGGTGTCCTTCCCAAGCCTCCCCTTCAGACAATGCCATTCCACAGCCACAACCCTGGTACTTCTCATGCACAAGTAATTACTGGTCTGGGATGTGTTTGTTTCTTTAAGTGACTGTGGCTAAAAAATTAAGGATAAAAAGAAGAGATCAACCTTTGAAGTTCTGCCCCAGGTGGAAAAATAAAGCAAAACCAGGTGTTAGGGAAACCACAGATTTGGAAATGAGAAAGGACTACAAGGTAATTTTCCGTACACTTTTCTCATGAAAGTATACGTTTTCCTCATAGAAATGCTTTCCCTGAGGAGAGTTTGTTCAGAAGCTCTAATTAGACTGGATATGTCAAAGTGTTTTCAAATGAATAAAGCATTCATACATGTGTTAGGTATTAGAAGGAAAATACATGTTATTGCCCGATCACTTTCTCTGACATAAAATAATGCTGAACTACTATTACTTGAGAAAGCATCAGAGTCACTGGTTGAGATAAGTTGGAGATAAAGTATGGTCCCTTAAAGTAGCATATAAATTCAGTCTGTGAAAATAATAGATTTCAATAGCTTAAATTTAAACCATTGACCTTATAACCAATCATTGATGTTAGTCAACATAGTTCTGAGTCACAACAAAAATACTATTCTATTCTCCTTTCAAACTATTTAATGTACTAGATTTTACTACTCAAAATTAGAAGAGTTCATATACTTTTTTCATTAATTATAAAACTATTATGCTTTTTTATATAAAGGATCAAAATTGACAAATTTTTTAAAATTTCAACATTAAATGACTAACTTTTCCCTGTCTCTCCTTAAAACAGAAACTCTTATGTTTGCTGAATATTAAAAGAAAGAAAAATCCTACATCAGTTGTTCGGGTTCATATAAGACCTAATTGCCTCCTACACTCTAATTCTGCCACCAGTTTATAATCAGCATGCATTTCTCATGCATGAGTTGACCCAATTACATAACAAATTTTGCCTTTGGGGATTGCTCTTGGCTGCTTGTCTTCTGTCCACCATACAACTCAATTTCACAGCGTCAGCATCCTGAACACGACCACAGTCAGTCTCTGTCAGAATGATTTATTGAAATTACAAACAGAGATCAGATCCCTAGGTGGCCACCCCACCTTCATGCTCGCCCTTCCTTCCATGCAACCTAACTTTGACCCAAATCTTTTAATAGTCCAAAGGCACTGTTATTCAATTATTAGGCCATGTTTTCCTCCAATAATCTAATATTTTTGAAGTTAATTCACAAAGTCTCAGGGAACTAAATCAACAGTATCCACTTGAGCTTATTAATGGGCATATAATTTATTTTGCATTCTAAGAAGTCAGTGAAAAATTATGTAGCCACATCAAAAAACTAAAAATAATTATGTTTCAATATCAAATTAAATAGACACATTTTTTTCTATAATGTTTTTTAAAAGATGTCAATCTTAGTTTTGTTTTTGTTTTTTGATAAAGTAAGTAAGCATTTCTTATGAATGGATATGCAAAATTGAAAATAGTAGTAAAAAGGGTATTTGCAAAACAGGATAGCCAAAATTATAAATACTAACAGGGGAAGGAAAAGAATATAAAACAGGCTAAAACACTATTGTCTTTTTGTCAGTGATTAAGAAAAGGGGTTCCAAAGATTCCTACAGACACTAACACACACTAGTGTACACTCACATACACAGATACACACACTGGCTTCCTCTGTGAGTTGAGGACAGGACTGAATCTCGACAAATCACATATGGTCCACTTACTATTCCAGTCAGTTTGTAAAATACAAGCTTTTTCATCTAGGTTTTTTTTCTTTCCCTTTCATAAATTATTTCTGTGCCACCTGAAATAAATTTTAAAATAAACATCTAAATTTTATCTATAGCACAAAGACTGTAAAAGTCTCTCAGAGTTGGACTTTATCATTTCATTTCACAATTTATCCATGGACTATCTCAGCTAATTGAAAATGCAGTTTATATTAATGTGTAAGCAGGCAGAATGAAATACATCAATAACCTCCTCTAGGCTGGGCGAGTCCCCACGGTGTCTGCGGGGATTCTGCCTGGCTCTCCTGCTGCTGGTTCCCTGAAGGAACTACTTATAAACATGAAGGTGGTAATCACCTGAATTAGAAATAGCCTTCACAATTACCCACACAAGTTAGAGCTATAAGGACAACAGAAAAAAAGTTTTTGAAAATGTCCAAAGGCACAAGAATTCCTCCATTCATGTTTGTACATTGTTCTTTAAGATAATTTTTATAAAACCACTAAGTAAAGAAAATGTGGAGATGCGTGAGGATATTTCTGTCATTTGTGAATTTATGCCCCAGAATTAGGCTGGGAAGTGGAGGTGGAAGGAGGCAATAAGACTGGAATTATCTTCTGGAATTTCATGGAAAAAATATTTATTTGACAATCGGTTCTGTTTCTTTCCAGCCACTCAGCACATTCTGTAATCTGGCCTCTTTTCTTATTCTTTCTGCAGCTCCACCAAGTGAGTTACACAGCAGAAGAATTTTAAATTACAGCCTTTAATAAATCTCCCAGGTTCAATATGTTGTCATTATAGGCCCCAAAAGAAGGAAGTTGAGGCTAAACCCACCCTCCCTGTTTCATTACAAACAATTTTAAATTTACAGCTGCATTTTATCCACACCTCACAAACATATGGAGACTAAGTGGGCATTTCCAAATGATTTCAAATCCCGAACAAATGATTACGAGAGTGTGAGAAAAAAAATTCATATAACTGACACAGACACGAGCAATCAAAAATGCCCACTCATCCATAACGTATTAACCAAAACACATAAGAGTTGTCATTAAATCCCCTGTCTTGTGTCTTTATATCTTCTTCAGTCCAAAAGGGATTAAAGGGAGCTTAGAAAGATCCAGACAATAGTCAAAGTCAAATAAAGTAAAAACAAGTAAGGAGGTGAAGCAGTCGGAAAAATAAAGATTGTGAAGACCTGGCTTCATTAACCCACTGCGTCATCCTGTATGAACCGTGCCGCTCAAATCTCACGTCCGTTACAGTTTGCAGGATGAGCAGCCTGGCACCTCCTGCGGAAAGTCTGGTGTCTGTCCACTCTGGACATTTCCTCACCTTCTTCATCTCAAAACAGACACAGTCCAGGCCACTGTCAGAAATATGTGTCTGGATTTGGCCAATATATTTCAGTGTTTGGGTTTATCTGAAAGTAATGTGGAAAACTGAACTAGCCAAAGTACCGAGTTTCAGATGAACCTGGGTTTTCTATAGAAAAAAGATCCTCGGATAATATGGAAAACCCCATGAGGTCACGGAAAAGTTCATAAAGTTGCGGCCTTATAAATCAATAATAAATTCACTAGACCTCAGAATACTTAACAGCTTCCTTTCTTCAAGGTAAACCCCTAACGGTAACATTAGGAAATCTGTATTTTTACTACTATCCAAATAGGAATGTGCTCATTGCGCTAAAAGCACTACTTGCAAGACTGCTATGGCTGCTAATATCAAGACAATCACAAAGAAAATATTAAGAAACCTAAATTATTTGCTTTCAAAAACCAGCACTGTCTAAATTACAGGTTGAATCTAAATGGTATTTCATATACTGTTATGTACGTAATAAATACAGATTTATACGTACCTGTGTTATATGAGTTTTTTGCATAATGAAGAATAGATCTGCAAACAGCCTCTGGTATTGAATAAAACGTATATTCCTGCTAATGATAAAGGTTGGTGAAATGATCAGTTCTTTTTTTATTAAATATGAATATTGAGTTAATTTGAATATAAATTAAAAGGCTTACCTTTGAATCCACTGCAATCCTTACGTTAGCTGTCACTTGGATGCCTTTAGCAGAAATTGTTTAGCTCTTTTTGAAATAAATCTCTGTGATAGTTGAAGATTTATAGCTTTGTTTTGTGAAGCATTATTTTTATTTTTTTAAAACTTCCCCAACAATAATGCAAAGAAAAGAAACACTACTGAATGTAACTGCCAGTGGAATACACAAGTATCTTTTATTTGCATTTTTAAAAGCAAAAATAGGTTTCTGGTTTAAGGAAAGAATGAAGAAAAACAGTGATGAGGGAAGTAACCTTCAGCATTCACAACTGGAGCATTGTTGAGACAAGGTAGAAAAACTAAGGGACAAATGGCATGAACGCTGAAAATTCAACCATTTCTCCTCAAAGGAAAAAAGTCCTTACTAAGATAAAATATTCATTTAAAGAGCAAACAATGACTAAACATTACAGAATATGAAAAAATGGTATTTACTCTGCCTCTTCTCACTCCCTAAATGTTTTTTAAACATCATTCTGTTTCTGAACTTTTGACAAATAAAATTCTTTCTCAAATTATATACTATCACTCTATTGGCCAACTGTTACTCTAAATATGATGATGGCCAAATATCAGTGAGTTTAAAACCATTGGCTAATTAAACATTTCTCAGAAATTAAGTCTACATCACTTATAACATTTAGACATACAGAGTTTAGTGACTGTGCAGTGACACACAAAATCAATTTCTCATGAAAAATGCATATTTGCACACACTTTTATATCATGTACAGAGTGGCTGATTTTCATTCATATTTCCTCTTGAATACCTAACATTGAACTAACTTTTTTTCTAAATAAGATACATTTTAACAAACCTTATATAATACTTCAGAAGAAATTTTATCAGACATAAATTACAAAAGGTAAGAACTGCTGCTTATCCACCTTTAGTACTGAATTAATACTTTTCAGTAGCTAATATGCTTTGACCTTGTTAGTCTCAATTTTCTTTTTCAAAAAAACATATTACTGAATAAGACGCTGCTTTCAAATTCAAAACAACTTTATATGTAAATGTTTGTTTTAAAAATTAAATTTAATTCTTCATTTCTACAACTATCTGAAGTATGAAATCTTATATACACAAAACCAGCAAATATGAAATTTCCTAAGATACTTGACTTTATATGTGTATGTGTTGCATGTTTACCCACAGGCGGGGGAAAAAACCTGTCAGGTTTTTTTCAACTTAACTACAAAAGTCCTCTTTTGAAACAATTCAAAGCTAGAACCATCCAAAATGGAGTAAGATGTTAAATTACAATAGCTTCTTTTATGTTACAGAAATATAGTCACTGCTGTTGAAGTGTTAGGCTCTAGATAACCGTTGAAATAAGGAAGAGAAGGATTTTCACAGATGAACTTGGCATATGTTATGAGTACACTGAGTAGCACTTACATACGAAGGCAACAAGAACACTTTCCAGTCACCCAATCCCACTTTCTCATCCAGAAACACGAGTTAGGGCCATCACATCACTGAATAAACAGTCACCTACGTTACTGATTTGTTCCTGAGTCCTCTTCAGCCTCTGTAGTTCAGGGGTATCAGTAACGATGCTGAAGCCCCTCCCTTTGCTTTCTTCAAAATCTCTTTTGTACTTGACCTAATAGTAGGGGGTGGGGGAGGGGATAAAAGAAAAAAAGAGAAGTAAACAGAGGAATCACAAATCCCTAAAAAGCTGCTAAAATTGGAAGCAATGCCTCCAGACACAGCTCTATCAGCAAGCGGCAAAGTAAGAGGCAGGGGCACAGAGAGACTGCCTGGTTGATATCCCAGCAACTCCTCTGACTGTGTGATCTTAGGCAAGTTACCTAACCACTCTGTGCCTCAAGGGTCTCATCCATAAAATGGCAGCAACAACAATATTTAAATAACGTTGTTTAATACATCCTAAGGGTAGGATCCAATCTACTCATACTCATACCTAGCCAATAGCAAGCAAGCAAGTGCACCATAATCGTTATCATTATTATTATCATCAATAGTTATACTACTGCTCCTATGCCTGTCTTCTCAGTGACAAAGCATCATTTTGTGCCTTGACTGCACTAACAGGGAAAAAGACATACAAAGTCATCAACAGCTACCCCTGTCCTTACAAAGTTTTCATTCTACTTCATAAAGCAAAGCATGTGGATATGATTATCCACTGCTATATTGCTAAATGTCAAGTATGTAAATGCTTATGAAAGTATTCATAACACAGACCACATCTAGAGATTGAAAGGCTTCAAGCACATGCCCTTAGCACACTGTGTGCTGAGGTACCTAAGATTTTTTTTCCAGTGTTTAAATATACTTCTTTTCTAATTACAACCCAGTGAAGCTGACTTTTACAGTTTTCTCGGGGGACCAGAATAGCTAATGCTTAATCTTACTAGAGCCCCATCTCCTATTATTAGCATAATGATAATAACTGTCACGCCAGTTAAATATTCTGCTTGTTAATGACTGAGATGCTTGTATCACTCTGACTATTCTTATTTCAAGAGCCTAAATACTAAGAAATATGAAAATGCATTTTTATAACCCATTTTACATCCAGAATTATCATTTTCAAATTAAATTTTATATTAATAATTAACATTTAGGGTAGTTAGTAAAAATATGATTCTGTAAGTATAACTTTCAGTGTAAATTTTAAATCTCCTTAGTTGAGCATGGAATGACTGTTCTTGCATCCGTATTTAAATATTCAATTCTCTGAAGCATTAATGTCCTTGAGACTACTAAAAAATTTCCCTTTGCCAGAAAAACTTGATAGAAAAAAAAAAAAGATGACAACAAATAGAAAGATGTAGATACTCTCATTACTTTAAGCTTTAAAATACAAAATTTTCTCTATATATTTTTATTTAAGGTATAAAAGTACTGAAACCCCTACTTTATTTTCCCAAATAAAAGGCCTTTACCACATTATTTTTCTTCCACAGAAAATGCTGAATGAAATTAACCCTCAATCTCCCAGCATGTGTGAGAGATACATACACACACCAGTGTATTCTTGGCGTTTTATGCCTAACTAAACAGGGAAGCTGTTCAGCTAGCCTGAAGATAGCACTAGGGCACAGAACAATAAAATAATAAAAGTAAGAAAGATGGCAAGGTTCTAATAGCAATAGGCATGAAGAAGTAAGAAGAAAAATCTATAAGTAAAGTTTTAACCTCACTATAATGCCAATTTCAGAGAAAGCACGATCACATATTCTTTCTGTAATTCGTTTGGATTTTTTAATGGTAATTTCCAAAGAAAGAACTGAAAAGAAAAGCTATTAAATCCCAGAATCAGAGGTTTTAAGTTGATAACCATTTAACAGCCCTTTCCACATTCACAAGACATAAGAATCACGATTTGGGCTTGCCTCATATATACTGAAGAGGATACAATCAAAATCATAAATAGTTTGCAGACTTTTAGTAGATGTGTAATCGTTTTTTAATGGTGTGATCCACAACCAAGCTCCATGTAGTCTCGGCACCAGCTCAGGCACTAACCCACCCACTCTTTACTGCACACAAGGAGGGGGCCTTGTAGACATTAGTCAGTGGCTCTCTTTTCCATGCTCCCACCCACTGAAATCCTAGCTCTCTACTAGGTCTAGAACACGTGGAACTTGGTGACAAAGCCAAATCTTACCCGAACCTAGCATAGCACCTGGCCCATGGGAGTTGGCTAATAAATGATTAAGAAAGGGAAGAAGGGAGGAAGAAAGAAGAGGGGTGGAAGCAGAGAGAGAATGTGGCCCAGTTCCAGATATAAGAGAGGAATCTCATATTCAGGGACTGAAAATGGAGCCATTTGGCTGCAGCACCTGGTGAAAGGGAAAGACCCAGGAAATCAAGCTAAGAAACACAGATTTAGACCAGATTCGAAAAGAAATTGCTGGCCATAGTTCCCACCTTAGTCCATTCAGGCTGCTATAATAAAAATGCCACAGACTAAATGGCTTGCAAAGAACAGAAATTTCTCTCAAATAGCTTGGGAGGCTGGGAAGTTCAAGACCAAGGCACTGACAGATTTGGTGTCTGATGGAAGCCTGCTTCCTGATAAACGGACCACTGTAACCTCAAATAGGGGAAGGGGGAAGGGAATAGGTGGTCCCCTATTCAAAAGGCGCTAGTACTAATTCTGAGGTCTCTACCCTCATGATGTAATTACCGGCCAAAAGCACCCCCTCCTAATACCATCACACTGAGAAATAGGTCTTATAAAAATTTGGGGGGACACAAACATTCAGCCTATAACAGGTGCTTTTACATACAAGCATTCAACATTAACTCAACAAGTATTCATTAAGCCTCATATAAACTCCTCTTTCCTCAGTAAAAATGCCTTTTCTTCCCTTATGTTTCAGGATTGGACACAAAATGATCATCTCTGGTCTCTTATCTACTCTACCATTAAAAAGTACCTCGTGATGATCCTGCGAATAATAACGGTGGTATTCTCAGAACTGCATTCTCTGGAATCTCCTCCTTCAATATTCTTCTATTCAATCCTTTGTTTATCCAAAAAAATATTTATTGAATACCAACTATGTGCCAAGTACTATTTCATGTGTGTGAACAATGCAGCAAAAAGAGTCAATAATCTGACCCCTCATGGAGCCTGCATTACAGTGAGAAAAATAGAAAAGACACAAGACCTATAAAAGTTGAATCAATGGTATGTTGGTGGTTAAGTCTAAGAGAAAAATAAGACTAGAAAGGAAGTGAGAAGGGTCAGAAATAGTGCCCTTTTAGATAGAGTGGCCAGGGAAGGCCCTAGTGGAAAGGTGACATTTCGGTAAGACCTGAAGGAGGTGAGGGCTATATGCAGAACAGCAACGTGGCAGACTTCTGGCTTACCAGGCTCTTCTGGGCCGATGTGTTGATCAACTGGAGTGAGCAGGGTAGAAGAAAGAGACCAGTCAGGAGCCTTCCCCAGTGGTTCACCATTAGAGAATCATGAAGGACTGAAGAAGACAGACTGAGTCCTTGGGCCCAGCTTCAGCCTCAGCTCCCCAGCCAGGTGAGCTACACAGTCTTGTCAGAATAGGTCAAGAAGAACACAGAAGGGAGTGCAGAAGCAAGATGCCACAGTGAGTTCAGAAAGAGAACGTGCTCTACCTGGGAAGTAATGTAATCTTTGTTACTTATGGGCTTATCACTTCAAAAATGAAGAAAGGTACATTGAAAATGCTTTCTTAATGTAAATGTAAAAAACCTACACAATGGGCTCTAGGACTTGCCATATTTTTCTTCAGAAGTAACAAAAATGTATTGCAAATACTGAATGCTACCTAATACTGACATGTTCCATATGGATGTATCTGTGTATGAACACACACACACATATAAATATTTATCTTCCTGTACTACAGATTAGAACCCCAAACAATGATTTTAAACCCTAATCCTGTTATGTGATCTTGGTTTGTTCAATTTCGCTAACACTCCCGATTGCCAGCAATACAATAGGAAAAGCAAAGCCAAGGAATATACTACCAAATGTTTGGAGGGCTAACATAAAGGATCTGTGAAAACATCAAGCAAGGACACGTCCTTAGTAGGCCATTAGCAAATGTTGGTTTCCTCCTTCCTGACAAATTTAAAAAGTGGCCTTTGTTGCTTAAATATGATCATCTTTGCCAATGTGTGCTTGCTCTGTGACATTTTGTGTTCGGAGTCATCAGCACGTTAACACTCAGAAGTTCGCACTGCAGGGGAAGCTCAAAAACAGGGTGGCTCTAGCCCAGCATAAGAAAAAGGCTCACATGGATGGGAAGGGAAGACTTCTAAAACACAAGATGGTGAGCAGAGTACACATTGCTAATTCTGAGATATAAGTTCTCTCCCCCAAATGCTGCAAGTACCATAGTTATTACTATTATAACAATATAAACAAATGTAGAAAATGAAAACCACTACAGAAAAAGTCCACTCTTAGGCAGAAAGCCATTTTTATTATTTTTTAATTTATTTTTATTGTATTTTTTCCATTACCATTTGTCCCCCTTATACCCTTCTCCCCTTTGCAATCACAAAAAAGCCAGTGGAACCCAAGAGTGGTAAACTGTTGAACAACAGACTGAAAGAAAAATAAATAAAATTCAACAATGAGCTGCTGATCCATCCAACAAGATGGATCAGCAGCTCCAGCCCCAACTATGCTCCTCTTGACCATGAAATTCTTGACCATGAATGAGCATGTGGAGACATAGACAAATATGCTCATAATAACACTTTTGTAGTATCAATAAAACTGGAAGCGATTTAGACATTACATCCATCAGAGAATGAACAAATTATTGTTTCTTCATACAATGAAATACTATCCAGGAATAAAAATAAATGAACTACAGATGCATGGGTCCATTTGAATAAATCTCAGATACATTTTGTTGAAGGGAAAAAAGCAAAGAATACATACATACATGGTAGATAAATAGGGAAAGGGACTTGATAAGCATGACATCCAGAGAAGTGGTAAGATCTGCTCATTAA